AAAAAAAAATACCCACTTGGCATCATGTTGAGCTCCATTCTCCACTCGCCGAATTTCCAGTCACTCAGTCAAGACACAATTTGCAATGTACGTCAACGTATCCGAGCAAAGTACGACCCTGCTAGAACCAGAGAAATTGATCGACCGAGGAAGCCTTTTATCAGTGAGCCCCATAAAAAGTCGGAGTCAGTTCGGTTGACCAACTCGACAGCTCTTGTCATACCAGAGTATCCTCGAAAGGAATTTGATGATGCAGACCAACCTTTTCGCAAAAATATTGTCAAGGACACCGGTCGAGAGCGACACCGAAAGAACCAAGAGCGGTATCGGATCAGGCAGAGGAAACTAGTTGAAGATCTAGGCCTAGCAACAAGAATGTTGCGCGACGAAATTCAGCACCTCAAGTCCAAACGCAACAACATCTCCATCGGGAACTCAACACAAATTACTCTGCAGATGGTGGCTACGGAGTATTTCCGCGTCTTTCGTCATGGGTTTGTCGAGCCAGACGGATCGCGGATCGCTGAGTTAGACTTCTTGCGCTTTTCGATGGCGCCAGATCTTGATGCCGGAACGGTATTTGGTTTCGAGGCTCTCGTAAGGAATTGGGGAGTCTTCAGCCAGTTTTTCCAAGATGTTCGCGTTTATCTGGAGAGCGTCGAGCAGACTACAGAGCACTCACTCTTGGCTAGAACCACCACCAGTGTTACCTTCACCGAAATAACACTTCGTGATGCGTTCTTGTATCAAGGTCACCAGGAGTGTGACCAGCAAGAGAGATGGGTGCACATCGCAGGTAAACTACTGGGGCAACGGCTCGATATGCACGGCTCCGTGCAGTTTACCTGGGACAGCTCGAACCATCGTGTGGTTGGACTTATTTCCCAAGCCGATATGATCACACCACTGTTAAAGATACTGGGTAACGTGGAAGACGTATCTGCCGTGTTCAGCAACGCTCGCATAACGGCAGAGTGCAATCTTGTCGTCGGAAAGTACTTGTTGGAGTACCCTTT